TGAAAATGGCAAATTTCCAGGATACAAAATCAACATACAAAATCAGTTGCGTTTCTATACATTAACAATGAAGGAGCAGAAAGAGAAATTAAAAATACAATCCCATTTACAATTGCAACAAAAAGAATAAAATACCTATTAATAAACTTAACCAAACAGTTGAAAGACCTGTGCACTGAAAACTATAAAACATTGTTGAAATAGATGAAGACTCAAAGACATGGAAAGATATTCCATGCTCTTGGATTGGAAGAACTAACATAGTGAAAATGTCAATACTTCCTAAAGCAATCTACCAATTCAATGTAATCCCTATCAAAGTTCCAATGACATTTTCTACAGAAAGAGAAGAAAGAATCCTAAAATTTTTATGGAACCACAAAATATCCCAAATAGCCAAAGGAATCCTGAGAAAAAGGACAGAGCTGGAGGTATCACACTCCCTGACGTCAAAATATACTACAAAGCTATAGTAATCAAAACAGCATGGTATTGGCATAAAAACAGACACAAAGATCAATGGAACAGAATCAAGAGCCCAGAAATAAACCCACACATCTATGAACAGCTAATTTTCAACAAGTGAGCCAAGAACATACAATGGAGAAAAGAAAGCTTCTTCAACAAATGGTGTTGCGTAAACTGGACAGCTACTTGCAAAAGAATGAAAGTAGACCATTATCTTACACCATACACAAAAATTAACTCATAATGGATTAAGGCTTGAATGTAAGACCTGAAACCATGAAACTTCTAGAAGAAAACATAGGCAGTACACTGTTCGACATCAGTCTTAGCAGCACATTTTCAAAAACCATGTCTGACTGGACAAGGGAAACAACAGAAAAAATAAACTAATGGGACTACATCACAGTAAAACCTTCTTCACAGCAAAGGAACCCATCAAAAAAATGAAAAGACACCCTAACAATTGGGAGGAGATATTTGCAAACCATATACCTGATAAGGGGTTAATCTCCAAAATATATAAAGAACTCATACATCTCAACAACAAAAAAAAAGCTAACAACCCAATTAAAAAATGGGGGGTCAGCCTGGTGGAGCAGCGGTTAAGTGTGCACGCTCTGCTTCGGCAGCCTGGGGTTTGCAGGTTAGGATCCCAGGCGTGCACCAAGGCACCGCTCATCAAGCAACGTTGTGGTGGCGTCTCATATAAAGTAGAGGAAGATTGGCATGGATGTCAGCCCAGGGCCAATGTTCCTCAGCAAAAAGAGAAGGATTGGCATCGGATGTTAGCTCAGGGCTGGTCTTCCTCAATAAATAGATAGATAGATAGATAGATAGATAGATAGATAGATAGATAGATAGATAGATAGATAGATAGACAGATAGACAGATAGATAATAATAGTAATAATAATAATAAATAAATAAATAAATAAATTCAGTTTTTAAAAAAGTGGGCAAAAGGTCTGAAGAGACATTTCTCCAAAGAAGATATACAGATGGCCAACAGGCACATGAAATGATGTTCAACATCAGTAATTATCAGGGAAATGCAAATCAAAACTACAATGAGATATCACCTCACGCCCGTCAGAATGGCTATAATTAACAAGAGAGGAAACAACAAGTGTTGGAGAGGATGTAGAGAGAAGGGAACTCTCATACACTGCTGGTGGGAGTGCAAACTGGTGCAGCCACTATTGGAAAACAGTATGGAGATTCCTTCAAAAAATTAAGAATAGAACTATACCATATGATCCTGCTATTCCAGTGCTGGGGGGTATTTACCCAAAGAACGTGAAAACACCAATGTGTAAAGATATATGCACCCTTATGTTTATTGCAGCATTATTCACAATAGCCAAGACTTGGAAGCAACCTAGGTGCCCATCAAGGGGTGAATGGATAAAGAAGATGTGGTATATATACACAATGCAATACTACTCAGCCATAAAAAAAGGATAAAATCCAGCCATTTGTGATAACATAGATGGACCTTGAGGGCATTATTCTAAGTGAAATAAGTAAGAGGGGGAAAGTCAAATACAATGTGATCTCACTCATTAATAGAAGATAAAGATAACAACAAACAAACACATAGAGACAGAGATTAGATTGGTGGTTACCAGAGGGGAAGGGGGGAGGGAGGAGGGTGAAAGGGGTGATTAGGCACATGTGTGTGGAGGTGGATTGTAATTAGTCTTTGGGTGGTGAACGTGATGTAATCTACACTGAAATTGAAATATAATGATGTACATCAGAAACTTATATAATGTTATAAACCAATGCTACCACAATAAAAAAAGAATTATTAAACTATAAACTTATTAAACTAAAAAAAAGTAACTATAAGATATAAGGAAATTCTATATGGTACTCTAAGGGTAAGGGAAGGTACCCCAAGGAAGGACAAATTTGGAAGAAGTTCAGATCTCATTGGAAAAGGTATAATTTAAGGCACGAAGAGCAGATAAGTTTACTGGTTTGGCCTGGTGGTCTGCAGTCACTAAGTAAGCAGGAAGCAACTCTCCAGAGCGCAGATGGGGAGCAAATAATCAGCAACTAGTGCAGGAGGTATAGAGAGAGGACGGGAACACTAGGTTGCAGGTGAGCTTCACAGGCCCAGCCTTCCTCAGTGGGAACCTCCTATGGCACAAGCAGGCTGTATGGGGGCTGGTAGAGGAAGGAGGGAGCAGCAGCTCTGTTATAAACCTTCAGTCAGCAGGCGGGCTGCATGGGGGGGCCAACAGAGGGAAGCTAGGGGACAACACGGGCAGGGAGGCCTTCAGGAAGAGACCTATACCAAGAGACCTGAAGGAAGGTTATCACCAAGCCAGGCAGAGGCTTCAAGGTCATTGAGGGACCACGTAGTCTGGGTATGTTGCTGGGTCAGAGCTCCATCGGATATCTCAGTCCCATTCTACTGACCCACTGTGCAGCAGCAGCCAGAAACTTCAGGAGAGCCCCTTCTTCCTGCAATATCCCTCCAGCACCCTCTACTGAGAAAGCTTAACATCTTGCTCGCTGTAAAAGGAGAGATGCTTAAGGGAATTTTGTCCATTTTCATACAATGGGTATTGAGGAGTGTTGGAACTGAGAAGCAATAAATTGATAAAACACAGGGGTAGACTGGAAGCTACATTTTCTAGTCCATAGTTCAGTTCTCTTTGAACTACCCTAAATTTTACTACTAGCATAATTCTAGATAGTTTCTTTTTTTTTTAATTTTTTTATTTATTTATTTTTTCCCCCAAAGCACCAGTAGATAGTTGTATGTCATAGCTGCATATCCTTCTAGTTGCTGTATGTGGGACACGGCCTCAGCATGGCTGGAGAAGCAGTGCGTTGGTGCGCGCCCGGGATCCGAACCCAGGCCGCCAGCAGCTGAGCGCGCACTTAACCGCTAAGCCACGGGGCCGGCCCTAGATAGTTTCTTGAAAATGACTCTCACACTGAGAGTTGGTTACGTTCCTTGTAGGTGTGCAGGCTGGCCCCACTGGTAAAGAAGAAGGAAAAAAAAAGACTGATAGGAATTTCACCTTTCTGAGTCTCAGTTTCTTTGTTGGGATAATGGATACCTCACAAGTTTGCTGTAAGAATTAAAGAAGACAGCATATGTAAAATCCTCAGCCCAGGCCTGAGACATAGGAAATATACAATAGAAATTTGTTTCGTTTCCCTCAGATAACGTCAACCACTGCAGCATATTCTTACTTTCCTTTTTCCTAGTCTCATCCATGAATGAAAGAAAACCAGGTGTGAGAGTTTTCACATTATCTGTCCTTCTTCATCCTTTTTATTCAGTGTTATGTAACAACTGTCATGTCACTTAAGTAGTTAATTATTTTCATAGCACCCTCGCGATTTTAAAGGTTCTTCTCTCCTCCAACTATATACTTTCCCAATTAAGTATTTATGTTAATGAGACTCCAGATGAAACAAGTGAAATCCAGCACTACTGAGCTTTCCAGAAAACTCACTTTCCTTGAATGCCAGTCACTCAAATAACACCTATGTCAACCTGACTGATGATATCAGGCATTGAGAGCACATCCACTATTCTGCTCTCTCTTATCAGTTTGGATCAAGGATGATATTGATACTTGTCATGATATTCCAGATGATAACCACTGGATGGTGTGTTCTAAGTCCTAAAAGGGCCAGATGCTTGGTCAAGATGCTACATTTAGTTCTGGTAGACTATCTTGGTCGCAGGCTGCATACATATTAGAAGTCACAAAATAGGCCCACACCTAGCTGAAAAGAATAAATTTGACAATTATTCGTACCCATTTATGAGACACTGAAATATCAGAGAGATCCATGGGTGCTCAAGCTGGAAGGAATCTGAGAATATCTGGCACAGTGCTGTCCAAGAGAAATTTTTATAGTGACGGAAATGTTCTATATCTGTACTGTCCAATAGAGTAGCTACTAGCCACATGTGGTTACTGAGCACTTAAAATGTGACTAGCATGCCTGAGAAACTGAGTTGTTAATTTTACTTTATTTGTATAGCTATTAGCTACCATATTGGACAGTACAGATCTAAATAGTATGGCTTAATGGAAAGAACATGGGATTTGAAGCTAAAAAGATCCTCAGGTCTAAATCCTGGCTTCTGTCACTTACTAACTATATAACTTTGGTCATGCCCTTTATCTTGTCCAAACCTCAGCTGCCTCATTTGTGAAATAGGGATCATACCAGACCCTCACAGGGTTGTTGTAATTAGAGAATGAATGTAAAGCATCCAGCCTAGTGCTCAGCACATAGTAAGTAGTCTTTAAATAATAGCTATTATTATCAAGCTCCTCATTTTCCAGATAGAGAAACTGAAGCTCCAAAAGGAGTATATTGTCCACAGTTACAGAGCTAGTCGGAAGCACAGCCAGGAGCCAATTCCAAATTATCTCACCTTTTTTGATGATGAGTTTTCTTATAAAGATGAACCCTCCTTGTCCCTGAAGAGTGAAGAGTGTTAGCCTACTCAACTGCTATAAAAAATATCTTATACACGTAGAGAAAATGTACCTTGGTGAAGCCTATTTGCTCCTTCCGGAAATTTTCCAGGGGTTTGATCAGCAAATCACTAGCATTATGTACCTAGAAAAAAAGAAAAAAACAAAAAACAACTTTTAGATTAGCAAGGTTCAGATTCAAGGTTCATTGTTACTAGGGCATTTCCTTGTAATACGCCATCCTACAAAATGTAAACTAGTTTGCTGGTTTGTTGGGTTTTCTTACTGTCTTTCTTCCCATATTGGTCTCTTAGAATCAAATGCTTTAAGAAGAAATGAGAGAAGGAACATTAGGAGCATTTCTCCATAACTTTACTGGTAGTTGGATCTGAGTTTTAATCGAAAAATATCCAGAGTTATGTCCAGAAACAGACACAGGTGCCCTGAAGTATATGTGGAAAAGAGAAGAGAAAGGAAATGGAAAATACATGAAAAGGCCAATTGCACCAAGTGCAAACCATTTCATGGGAGGCAAATGAATTAGAAGTAAGAGGATCAGGATAAATCCCAGGATAAATCATTTCCAGTCCTGCCCTGGTGTGTCATAAAACCAAAACAGTTCCTTCAGAACTTGGAGTGCATTACAGCATCACAGAGAACACTGGACCAGGTCTTCAAATTACCTAACTATAGCTGCTCAGAAGCTGATATGAACAGCTTGTCTAGGTACTAAAAATATCGACATTGATATGGTTCTGGAGATATAAAAACATCATATCCAAACCAGACCCCTTGCTCAGTGGGCAGGTAGAAATATACAAAGCTTTGTCTCCCACCACCTTTTGGGGGACTGCATCTGTCCAAGGCAACAAGTGGGGTTTGTTTCTTCAGCCATGTGAATTAGCTGTACTTTAATGGAGGACCTTAGAGAACACATCTGAAGGACTGGATTTTAGGACCCATTCCATTAATTTTGATCTATTACAAGACAGGGAAATGAGGGACTGGCTTCCTTGTCAGATGAGACATAAAATGTCAGTAATACATGATATATCTTCATAACAAAAATAGAAGACAGAGTAGAAAGCCAGTTTTGACCAGTCCTGTATTTTCCAGACTAAGAATCAATTTTTGAACTTCCACCAAAAAGCATGGCAAGTTGGAGCATTAGTACATATTTTATCCAAATCCTGCAGGCACTTTGGGCTTCCTGTTTTGTGTTCAGGTACGATTCAAGGTTCAACTAAATGGGCAAACTCTCATCCAATCAAAGCTCCACTAGCAGCCCTGGTATTAAAAATAAAGACACCAGGGACTCTCCTTAACTGCAAACAAGAATTTTTCTACTAAAAGTACCAGCCCATCTCTCTTGCCCAAAACACTACATTTCCATGGATTGAAAATTATGTGATATCAACTTTGTGTACCTACCTGGAAACAAATTAAGTCATCAGTGTCAAAGATTCAGTACAGGGAGTCATTTTTCTTCTTTACTATCGTGGAAGTTTTAAAACATGGCCACAAATTCTGTGACACTCTTCCCATTGAGAGGTAAGGTCTCTGCCCCCTCTACCTTGAAAATGAGTGGGTTTTTTACTGCTTTGAACCAATAGAGCATAGTAGAAGTGACATTATGTGACTTCTCAGACTAGGTCATAAAAGGCCAGCAACTTCCACCTGGTGCTCTTGGAATACTCCCCCTGGGAGCCCTGAGCCACTATAAGAAGTTGGACTACCTGAGACTACCAAGCTGGAGAGGCCAAATGTAGATATTCTGGTCAAAGGTCCAGCTGAGCCCAGCCTTCCAGCCATCCCACCAAGGTGCCAGGTATGTAAGTAAAGCCGTTTTGGACCCTCCATATCAACCCACCTCCCAGGTGAATACCACCAAATGGAGCAGAAGAATCACTCAGTTGACCCCTGCTTAAATTCCTGACCCACAAAATAACGACATAAAATTAAGTTGTTTTAGTTTAAGCCACTAAGTAACAGAATACGTTGTCAGGCAGCAATAGATAATTAGAAAAACTATTTCAGTTTCACAAAGGTAACACATAAAAAGTGACTACCTGGAAACGTTGAGGAACTTTGCCTTTGAATAAGAAGTGAACATGTCACATCCTTCTAAAGATAGTAGTATGTGTCAAGCCTCTGTATGAATATTCAGCTGAGCCCTTGAATATGCAGGCACCCCAAGGATGGCAGAGTTGACAGTTTTTCATGTTCCAAGGGAGATTTATTGCACAAGCAGGTGTGCCAGCAACTTCTCACACAGGGTCCATAAGACCACTGCTTTTTATATGTTTGGCCCTGTCTCAGTCTAGGAAAGTAGTATATGATTCATTGAAATTGGAATCCATAGTTTTCCCTTAATTGTATTGGCAATACTGCTCCTAATCGCCTACAACACAAATAGATACTCTGAACCTTTTCCTCTCTTTAACACTCATTGATTATTATACTACTTTCTGAGAGAACATAGAGCTAGAGATGTAAGAAAAGGTCACACCGAAGCTTGGCATTTTTTTTTCTTTTTCATGCTGTTTTATCCTTAAACCCCTTAGAAGTCTAGTAACTAGACTTCACTAAAATTTGGCCTTTATTCACCTTTCTGATCACTGCATCCATATTGTGAGCTTTCTAGGAGAAAAGCTCCTACCTGCTATCTCAGGGTACAATCCCCAGCATGATAAGTGACATTCTAAAGACATTAGTGAGTTTATCTATTCAGGTTCCTTTTGAATGAAACCCATAATAATACTAGATAGGGCATTTAGCAGAATAGAGATGGTATTCAATCCAGTAGTACAGGATTGCTCAGGAATCTTTGATGGTTAATCAATTACCAAAAGCAGGCATTGAGGATGTACTGTTCGAAATGTTATGGGCCTCTTTAGGTCATCCTTGACAGTCCTCAAAGACAGACCTTGAACATTGCCAGTATAGGTCCCCTTCAGAGTCAGAAAGGTATCTAGGCAAGCCTCTTATCCTTAACTATACAGGAAGCCTGTTACCCAGACTTTTAAAGGCGACCTTCCGAGGTACTACAACCTCCCCCAGGGTACTGTTTAAGAAATCACAGCTGGGATGCTACTCTTAATTTCTTCCCTCCATAGTTTCTTCCACAATTTAAATTCATTTATGAGAATGACTAGACATTTGCACATGCCACAATGCTAGGGCTGTGAACTTCTTTCCCGTTCTTCTAAAGCTTCTTTTGGCTTCTTATAGAAAGGATAAAAAGCTGTTTAACACCTCCCAGATTACCCATATTGGGGTACAGGAGTCCTTTTACCACAGTTCCAGGAAATGGGAGAAGTGCAGTCAAGCAATGAATTCCTGGCATGTTGTGAAAGGCCCTCATTGATCCTAACCTTCACAGCATTCCTGTAATTAAATAGTAAATGGGGAGCCAACATTCAATACTTGTTTGAAGAGTTGTGGGGACAAAAGGGCATAACATAATTAAAGACAGAAGAAAATGAGTCAGTCCCATGGAAAACTGCCAGCGAGAAGGATGAGAAAAACAACATCTCAAAAGATGAATCCTACTTCAATATTTTAGAGCTTGTAATTGGGTAAGTAAAGGAGATCAAGAAACAACTAAGGCTGAAGAGAAGTACAGCTGAGCTTTCTAATGGTATGTGAACGAAATGGGGGCAAATGCCTTTGAGATCAACATTGGCAGCAGTCCGTCCACAAACTCTTTGGGCAGAAGAAAACATTTAGTAGAGTGTGGATTAGCTAGTGGGCCATCTACCAGGCTCCAGGGAAACTACCCATACTGGTCTCTCCTTAGAATCCTTAGAAGCAAATCTCTTAAACTAAGGAAATTCTCAAGTCAAATTTCCACAAGCAGAATCTTGGGGGCAACAAAAGATAACTAGAAACAACACATATAATCAGTGGTTTTGTTATTTATAAAACACTTCCATGATCATTATATCATTTGGAGTAGTTACAACCACCTTGGGAGATGGGGATTACTTTCCTCATTTTACATATAAAGAAAGAGAGACAGCAAAATAAAGTGATTAGTCTGAAGCCAAGTAAGTTAGTGGCACAGCAATTACTAAAGCCTAAATCTCTAATTTCCTGACCTCTAAGCCCTGCCTTCAATCCTGCTTTTCTAGGGCCCTAGATGAAATGGTAGCAGTATTCTGAGAAGCCAGTACCACATTGTTGAAAAGGAAGAGTGATTACAGATTAAAGAACTCTTACTATTGGAAGAAATGAGCTTAACAAAACTGAGCTGCCAATAGGAAGTCATCCTATAAGAGAAAGTGAAGATAGACCTCTTTGTTGTCCTCTACAAAGTTCCCACTTTACCCTCACGCTCCTAATAAAAATAAATATTGACCAACATATGTACTTTCACATTTAAGTCCCAAATATGTCTGGGGTGGGGCCAAGGACCTGTATTTCTAACAATTTCCCAGGTGACACTGGTGCTGCAGGTCTAGGGACCACACAAAAAGATTATTTCTTGAACTGTTAAAATAAAGTTCACAAAAAAGTGAAATACTTAGGAATAAATCTAATAAAATATGTATAAGATCTATATGAGGAAACTATAAAACTCTGATGAAAGAAATCAAAGAAGATTTAAATAAATAGAGAGATAACCCATGTTCACAAATAAGAAGACTCAATATTTTTAAGTCAGTTTGTCCCAACTTGCTCAATAGATTCAATGCAATCCCAATCAAAATCCCCACAATTTATTTTGCGAATATTGACAAACTGATTCTAAAGTTCATACCTAACTTCAAGACTTACTACAAAGCTACTGTAATCAAGACAGTGTAGTATTAGTGAAAGAAGAGACAAATAGATCAATGGAACAGAATAGAGAGTCCAGATAATAGATCCACACAAATATAGCCAATTGATCTCTGACAAAGGAGCAAAGGTAATTCAATGGAGAAAGGACAGTCTTTTCAACAAATGGACATCCACATGCAAAAAATGAGACTAGACACAGACTTTACACTTTTCTCAAGAATTAGCTCAAAAGAGGTCATAGACCTAAATATATAACACAAAATTATAAAACTCCTAGAAGATAACATAGGAGAAAGTCTAGGTGACCTTGGGTTTGGTGATGACTTTTTAGATACAGCAACAAATCCATGATTCATGAAAGAAATAATTGATAAACTGGACTTCATTAAAATTAAAAACTTCTGCTCTGCAAAAGACACTGTTAAAAAATGAAAAGACAAACCACGGACTGGGAGAAAATCTTTGCAAAATACATTTCCAATAAAGGACTTTGCATCCAAAATATACAAAGAACTCTTAAAGCTCAACAATAAGAAAACAAACCACCCAATTAAAAAGTGGGCAAAAGATCTGAGCTGACACCTCACCGAAAATGATCTACAGATGGCAAATAAGCATATGAGAAGATGTTCCACATCATATGTCATCAGGAAAATGCAAATAACAACAGCAATAAGATACCACTACACACCTGTTAAAATTAGTAAAATCCAAAACGCAGACAACTACAAATGCTGGTGAGGATGTGGAGCAACAAGAACTCTCATTCACTGCTGGTAGGAACGCAAAATGGTACAGTCACTTTGGAAGACAGTTTGGCAGTTTCTTACAAAACTAGACATACTCTTATCATACAGCCCAGTAATTGTACTCCTTGGAATTTACTCAAAAGAGTTGAAAACTTACATCTACACAAAAATCTGCACACTAATGTTTATAGCAGTTTTATTCATAATTGCCAAAATGTGGGAGCAACCAAGGTGTCCTTCAATAAGTGAATGGACAAACAAACCATGATACATCCATATAATGGAATATATGTATTATAATACATATTATATATGATATATATAACAAATATGTATATTATTCAATGATAAAAAGAAATGAGCTATCAAGCCATGAAAAGACATGAAGGAACTTTAAATGCATATTGCTAACACAAAGAAGCCAATCAAAAAAGGCTACATACTGTATGGCTCCAACTATATGACATTCTAGAAGAGGCAAAACACAGTAAAAAGAAAGATCGGTGCTTGCCAGGGGTTCAGATGTAGGGGAGGGAGGGAGGGATGAATAAATTGAGAACAGAGGCTGCTTAGGGCTGTGAAAATACTCTGTGTGATGATACTATAACGGTGCAGACATGTCATTATATGTTTGTCAAAATCCATAGAATGTTCAACATAAAGAGTAAACCCTAATGTAAATTATGGACTTTAATTAATATTGTGTCAATATTGTGCCAATGCTCATTAATTGGAACAAATGTATCACATTTGCAAGATGTTAATAACAGGAGAAACTGTGTATGGAGAGGGGCGAGGAAGAGAGGGAGTATATGAAATCTCTCTGTCCTTTCCACTCAATTTTTCTGTAAAACTAAAACTGTTCTAAATATTAAAGTCTATTAATTTTTAAATTAGACTTTAAATGTAAGGAAAAAAGTCTTCATATAGATTTTAAATAAAACAATCATATGTCAAATATAAATAAAAATAAAGCCCATATTATTATTTCTGGAAGCAGAGAAACACATAAATAAATAGATAATTAGTTTAAGAACACTAAAAGACCACAATTTTTGTCAACATGTTACAGCCCAGTTTAACGTCCTGTGAAATCCTTTCTCACTGAAATGAACAGGGATAGGATTTCACACTAATTTCTCTCCATTTAATGCTAAATTCTCAGGGTGGGAGCTTCAGATACAATAACCAGATCTATTTCCTGTCTTTACAGTACCAGGCAGCAATGAAACAGAAACCAAAACAGCAGAGCATCAATCCAACCAATGAGGACAGGAAAAATCCCCAATATCAGCCTTGATCTCGGCTCCAGGCCCAGTGTCAGTGACCTACCATCATCATCCTCTCATTTTCTACTTCATTGAGCAATTCGGCAAATTCCTTGAAGGATTCAGCTGGAAAAATAGAATAAAAGATAAACCAAATTAATCATATACTTGAAAGGCAAGAGGGCAGATGTCTATGCGACAGGAGGTAGGGACCAGTGCCCCAAGCCCGCATGGCCACTAGAGGAAAGCATCAAATCTAAGGCCAACAAGATAATGTGTTCAGTGCCTGTTGAATGTTTCCTTTTCTTTTTTTTTTTTTTTGGCCAATCCGTCTACCCAAGAGGTTTTTTTTCCCCCTCCAGTTTTATTCAGATATAAATGACATACAGCACTGTATAAGTTTAAGGTGTACAGCATAATGACTTGACTTATATATATTGCAAAATGAATACCACCATAAGTTTAGTTATCATCCATCACCTCATATAGTTACCAATTTTTGTTTCCTTTGTGATGAGAACTTTTAGGATCTCCTCTCTTAGCAACTTTCAAATATACCATACAGCAGTGTTAACGATAGTCATCATGTTGTACATTACATCCCCAGTACTTATTTATCTTCTAACTGGAAGCTTGTATCTTCTGACTACCTTCACCCAATTGCCCCACCCCCTACTCCTGCCTCTGGCAATCACAAATCTGATTTATTTTTCTATGAGTTTGTTTTTTTGATTCCACATAGAGTGAGATTATACAGTATTTGTCCTTCTCTGACTTATTTCACTTAGCATAATGCCCTCAAGGTCCATCCACTTTGTCACAAATGGCAGGATTTCCTTCTTTTTATGCCTGAATAGTATTCCATTGCATACACACACACACACACACACACACCACATTCTCTTTATCCATTCATCTGTCAATGAACACTTAGGCTGTTTCCATGTGTTGAATAGTATAGACAATGCTTCCATGAATATGGGGGTGTGGATATCTCTTCAACACAGTGATTTTGTTTCCTTCAGATATATACCAGGAAATGGATCTTAAGGTAGTTTTCTAGTTTTAATTTTTTGAGGAACCTCCATACTGTTTTCCACAGTAACTGTACCAATTTACATTCCTATTAACAGTGCACAAGGGTTCCCTTTTCTCCACATCCTCACCAACATTTATATCCTGTCCTTTTGATGATAGCCATTCTAACAGGCGTGAGGTGATGTCTCATCATGGTTTTTATTTGCATTTCCCTGACGATTAGTGATGCTGAGTACCTTGTCATGTACCTGTTGGCTAACTCAATATCTTTTTTGAAAAAATGTTTATTCAGGCCTTTTGTCCATTTTTTAATTGGATTATTTGTTTTTTTGCTATTGACTCGTATGAGCTCTTTATAAATTTTGGATATTAACCCTAATCACATATATTATTTGCAAATATTTTCTCCTGTTCTATAGGTTGTCTTTTCATTTTATTGATCATTTATTTCACTGTGCAGAAGCTTTTTAGTTTGATGTAGACCCACTTGTGGATTTTTTACTTTGTTGCTTGTGTTTGGGTGTCACATCCAAACTATCACTGCAAGACCCATGTCAAGAAGCTTTTTCCCGTTGTTTTCTTCGAGGAGTCTTATGGTTTCAGGTCTTACATTTAAGTCTTTAATCCACGTTGATTTACTTTTTGTAAGTGGTGTAAGATAGGAATCGAGTTTCATTCTTTCACATGTGAATATCCAATTTTCTCAGCACCATTTATTGAAGAGACTATCTTTTCTCCATTGAGTATTCTTGGCTCCCTTGTCAAATATTAGTTGACTGTATATGCATGGGTTTATTTCTGGGCTCTCCATTTGGTTCCACTGGTCTATGTGTCTGCTTTTATGCCAGGATCATACTCTTTTGATTACTGTAGCCTTATAATATAGTTTGAAATCAGGAAGTGTGATGCCTTCAGCTTTGTTCTTTTTTCTCAGGATTGCTTTGGCTGTTTGGGGTCTTTTGTGCTTCTATGAACTTTTGGATTGTTTTTTCTACTTCTGTAAAAATGACATATCAGGAAATAGAGCTTAATTACCCAAAAGTATGTTCTTATATTGTCTTGATAGGGATTGCATTTAATCTATAGGGGGCTTTACGTGGTATGGACATTTTAACAATATTAATTCTTCCAATCCGTGAACACGGGATATCTTTCCATTTATTTGTGTCTTCTTCAATTTATTTCATAATGCCTTGTAATTTTCACTGTAGAGCTCTTTCATCTCCTTGTTAAATTTATTCCTAAGCATTCTGTCGTATTTGATGTTATTGTAAATGGGATAATTTTCTTTATTTTTTTCAGATAATTCATTGTTAGTGTATAGAAACACTAGAAACGCTGATTTTTGTATGTTGATTTTGTACCCTGTAACTTTACTGAATTCATTGATTAAATCTAACAGTTTTTGGTGGAGTCTTTAGAATTTTTTTACATATAAAATCATGTCATCTGCAAATAGAAACAATTTTACTTCTGCCTTTCCAATTCTGATGCCTTTTATTTCTTTTTCTTGCCTGATTGTTCTGTCTAGGACTTTCAGTACTTTGTTGAATAGGAGTGGTGAGAGTAGGCACCCATGTCTTCTTCCTGATCTTAGAGGAAAAGTTTTCAACCGCTCACCATTGAGTATGATACTAGCTGTGGGCTTCTCATATATGGCCTTGATCATGTTGAGGTACATTCCTTCTATAACTAATTTGCTGAGAGTTTTTATCATGAATAGATGTTAAATTTTGTCAAATGCTTTTTCTGTATCTATTGAGAGAATCATATGATTTTTATCTTTTATTCTATTAATGTAATGTTTCACATTTATTGATTTGCATATGTTGAACTATCCTGGCATCCCAGGGATGAATCCCACTTGATCACTGTGGATGATCCATTTAATATGCTGCTTAATTCTGTTTGCTAGTATTTTTTTGAGAATTTATGCATCTATATTCATCAGGGGAGTTGTCCTGTAGTTGTGTAAGAGTTCTTTCATAGCTAATATTTCATTTAGTCATCACAGTCACCCTTAGGAGTATCTGGGATTTCTCTCATTTCATAGACAAGCAAAAAGATTATGGGAAGGGCAATGGCTTTGCTGTGTAAAGAAAAGCAGCACTAGAATCCTAAGACCTAAGTTTCGATCCCTGCTCCACACAATTCAACAACCTACACAAATTTCTCTCAATTTAGCCCTTCCATGCCTCAATTTCCTCATCTGTAAAATAAGGATATTACTAATTGTTACTTCAGAGTGGTTATGGAGATAGAATGAAATAATAGGTTACCCATAGGTTTTGTAAAATGTTAAGTGTCATTTTTCTTGGTTTTAGAAGCACTGTGGTTGAGTAAAAAGCACATTTGACTTACTAACTCTCTACCTTTGGCAAGTTACTCAAACTCACTGAGACCCACTTTGCCTACCTACAAATAATAATTCCTATCTCACAGGGTTGTTTGATGATTAAATAAGATAATACATGCACAGCTCCCAGTACACATGGTAGCCATTCAATAAATGTTAGTTCTGCTCCTTTTTGGGTCTAAGGCAGTGATACTCAACACTGGCTACACATTAGAATCATCTGAGGAGCTTAAATATCAATGCTACATCCCTTCCCAGACCAATTAAACCCAATTAACCTGCTAAGTGTCAGAAAACTTGGTTGGTGTAACACAATACAATTGCAGGGGTGAATACCCAGAGGTTGAATTAGGAAATATAGCTTAATTCCCTGAAAGTATGTTCTTATATTGAAATAAAATAAAAATAAATGAACAAAACAAAATGACAATAACAATAAAACTATGTTCTAGTAGCACAGAAAGCAGTAAGACCCAGCTACTCTCTTGTTCCTTTTTGTTTTATTCTTATTATATTTAACCACCAGCTCTCTGACCCAATTTTATCAGAATTTACACGTTAAGTCCAAAAACAAAAACAACAAGATAAACACCTTGTTCCACAGTAACAGAAGAGACTCAGATGGTCTTATCCAAATCTTCACGCGATGCTTCAAACCCTGGGCGACATCCACCATTAGCAGCCATCCAGCTCCAGCTCACACATCTCTAGTGATAGTAGTAGTAACCAACTTGTCTTGGTGTGCCAAGGACTATCACAGTTATAAAACTGAAAGCCCACATTCCAGGAAACCCCTCAGTCCCCATATGCTCAGAAATGGTAGTCACCTTAAATGACAGGGGCTCACTCTCTCCTGGAGCAGGCCATACCTCACTTTCAGAATGTCTCTATTAAAAACTCTGTCCCTAATACTAAGCCTAAATCTATCTCTCTGCATTCTAGTTTTGTTTTTCCTCAGGTACCTGAAGAGCTTTTGTGGGACTGTAGATAAGAACGGCATGTGATATGTTTAAAAGAACATTAGATGGAGTAATAGATAAGGAGGATTCTAGTTTAGGGGACAAGAAAGAAAAATAGAAGGAGCATGATCTTTAGAGAGAGAGAGACCTGGATTTGCAGCTTCATTCTATCATCTTCTTGCTATGTGACTTTTGATAAGTGACTTGACCCCTTTGAGCTTCAGTTGCCTAACTTGTCAAATAGGCATGATGATATACCCGAGAGTGTTATTGTAAGGACTAAATTACAAAGTAAATGTAGAGTGCCAACACACAGTAGATAATAAACATTACCCCTTCTTCCCCATCCCAACTTTCTACTGTTCTAGTGCCAGTTCTGCCACTTACTGGGGAGGTGACTGGGCAAGTCACTTCTCCTCCCTGGATTTCAATTTCTTCATATACCAAAGAAAGGTAAATTAAGCTAAATAGCCTTTACTGTTCCTTCAAATTCTAATAACTACTATTTTAAAGTTCCCAACTTCTCACCAGAAACTGGAAGAATATCCTCAAATGATATCTGAATTAAAGAGAACATATTGAAAGCCTGGAAAAACAAATGCACCCATATTAATATTTTTTAGTTAAAAATACATTCCCCTTCCTAAGAGAACTGGATAACTAATCCAGCATTTCTGGTACCAAAGACACTAAATTCAGGGTCAATACAGGACACCAGACAACAGCATTTCTTTCCTCTGAGGATTAAGTTACTGCACACGCCTAAGGAAGTC